CCTCCTTTTTCATCCGGGCTTGGGACCGGCAAAGGCGGAGGAGTTGCTTGCTACCCTGATATGATTGAGTGGAGATAAGAAAGAAGAAGATTCATTGATGAGCTCTACTCATCCCCAGCATAGACAACATCAACAAGCTCTACAGACTTGATACTCTAATATGATTGAGTGGAGATAAGAAAGAAGAAGGAGGGTTCACCACTGATAAGCCAAGCCCTCCCAATATTTTTCTTCGCAGCAAGGACAGTAGAAGTTTGATTCATTTGTGAAAAGAAACATTCGTCTTAATATACACAAAGCAATAACGCGTCATCTATACACATAAAATGAAAGAATTTAAAAGCACAAATGTTTCTTTTATACATAATACAAACTTATAAGCTTATGTCTATAGTTTTCTTGAAGACCATTTCTGAGATTCCACTCTTCACTGCTGCGTATATAAGCAGAATCGTCCAATACAGTATTAGAGCTCTGAGAAGCGGTCTGGTGGATTAAATTGGTGAAACCGTTGGGAGGGTTCACCACTGATGAGCCAAGCCCTCCCAATATATTTTTTCATCGCAGTAAGGGCAGTAGAAGCTTGTATTATGTATAAAAGAAACATTCGTGCTTTTAATTCCTTTCATTTTATGTCTTAATATCTTCATTCGTTGTAAGAAAGAAGAAGACTTATTAATGAGCTCTACTCATCCCTAGCAGACACCATCAACAAGCTCTACAGACTTGATACCCTGATATGATTGAGTGGAGATAAAAAGAAGCACACTTATTAATGAGCTCTACTCATCCCTAGCAGACACCAACAACAAGCTCTACAGACTTGATACCCTGATATGATTGAGTGGGGATAAGAAAGAAGAAGACATCTTGGAGGATCCTGGTTGAGAAGGTATGTCGATTTTATGACTGATTCACAAGAAGAATAAACGAGGATGAGAAGCAGTATGTGGGGAAATACTCACCCTGGTGGACTGACGGAAGCAACCTGGGAGCCGGGACAGAAGTAACCTGGGGATGTTCATGGCTGGACACCACCACTTGACTCAGAGAAACTAAGTAGGTACCAATTTGGGGATTACACAATTTGACAATGATAAAGCACAATTTGGATTATCCCTATATATAGTCACGACCGTCTTTCCTCATCGGCCTCTGTCACGGATGCGCGCGCACAGGGAGGTCACGTGCTCGCCGGCATCCAATAAAAATAAAAATAAACTCCCTCGAGCCGGATTTGCACCAGCGACCTAAGGATCACTGTTGTAACATCTACAGTCGGGTAAAACACGGGCGTTGCCCGGGTCATTTGGCTAGTAGATTATAAACACAAGGTAATAAGACCAAATCCTAATAAATATTGTTTTTTTTTTGCTTATCCCTAGTACACGTGGTACAGGCCATGATAATCATGGTGGGTAGAGGTAGGCGACTGCTTTTACTGTAAGTGTACCACATCTCTACACATGTGAAAAACAGTTCGACTTTGCACTTACAAATGTGCCAGAGCCCCGTTTGGTTACTTTCACTCGCTGGTTGGGCTGTACTTTTGCAAGATTCAGGGGCCATTGGAGCATTTTTTTTTTTAAATCAGAAAAAAAAAATGCCCAATGCGGGATTTGAACCTGGGTCGTAGCGGTTGAAAACCAACGGTTTAGACCATCCTTCCACCGACCCCCAATAAATAGTATGACTTTTGGTAACAGCATTGTTACCATCTTCAGACAAAACAATCAGCACTTTTTTAGCCCTAACACGTATGATAGCGATCACAGCAAAAGTTGAGGTTGATTCCTCTTTGTAACAATTTTAAAAAGCCTTTTATTTTATCTCTTATGATAGAAAAGCTATATTTTCTTATTTTAACATGTCCTGAAATTTTGCCTGTGTTATTTCACTTTAAAAAGTTTTGAAATGGCCTTTTTTTTTCCTTTAGTAATAATGTTTTTGTTTTTAGAATGCCCTTATTTTCTTCATTTTGGAAGCCATTTGCATTTTTTCTATTTCAAGTTTGATGGATGCAAAGATATTCTATTTAATAAAAGGTATAATGTGTAAAATTTATACAACATGCAGCAAAAATAGAATGTAAATGAAAACAAACAATGCCGCTAAATTTATTGTTTTCAAATCGTGATCCGTGAGCCAAAACATGCTCAAAATTTTGTTGTATTAATTTTTTTTTTTTTAATTATAATTTTAAGTTTGTTATAAGGATAGTATTTTAAATAGATTTCATTATTTTAGGACCAAAAATAGATTCGTTATAGGGGTAGTTCGCTATTTAAAAAATCGCAAAGTTTATTATACCGATGGTATTTTCAATGGAATGGAATTGGAAATCGCCGTAGGTTCGTTATAAGGGAAGGTTCGCTATATCCAGGGTTTGTATTATTGGGGTTTTACTGTATGATTCTTGTTTTCAGACTTGTTGTAACTTTGCCTGTTGAAAAACAAGAGCTTGCGTTGTTTTGCAACAATGAAACTCATTACGTAAGGTTTTTAAATATTTTTATAAAAATAAATCTCAATTTTCCTATATTTGAATACTAGCCGAATGACCCGGGCAACGCCTGTGTTTTACCCGATTGAATGTTTTTATTCAAATACTATTTGTTACAATTATAAATTGGCGCCTTAAATAAATGCATATATTAGTTAATAACTATAGCCTATGTGCTTTATCTGCCTATGTACTGTTGGCTTCCGTAGGTAAGACGCTCGTAACTGTATATAGAATACCGCCTTGTGCGCGCACAGGGAGGTCTCGTGCTCGCCGGCAGCCAACGGGCGCGCGCCGCCGGCAGGGGGGGTGGGGAGGAGCATTACGTCACTCAAGGTCACCGTCGCGCCAACGATGACATGTAATCGTAGCCGTCCAATAGGAGGGCGCCGGCCATCCGTGAGAGAGGCGGCCGATGAGGAAAGACGCTCGTGACTATATATAGGACTAGCCAAATGACCCGGGCAACGCCCGGGTTTACCCGATTAAATGTTTTATTCAAATACTATTCGTTACAATTATAAATTGGAGCCGTGGATGTCACTCTTGTGAAACGTCCCGCTCCAAACTTTACATGTACATTAGGTCAGCTGGTATTACCCCTCATTTTCACCGCTAGAGGCGTGAGCGAAAGAGCAAATTTGCAAATAACACGACGGATATTCAGGATAGAGACCTGAAATTTTCACTAAGAGTTTTTCCAGATTCTACTTTATATACTGTTAAAATATCAGTCATATTAGTTACGTATTGTGGACGTGTATAGTTGACAAACATACATACTCTGACTTTTATATATATAGGGATAATAATATAAATGAGTTTTAAAAATTGTAAAAAAGAAAAAAAAAATGCATCGGCCGGGAATCGAACCCAGGCCACCCGCGTGGCAGGCCACTGAACCACTTCTACCACTGAACCACCGATGCTTATAAGAAATGGCCCTATTTGGGTATTTATTCCATTCACAAAAGCAAACGATGACAGAATTGTTGATGACTCTGATACTTGTATTTATAATTATGTTAGCATAATGAATTAGTCAGTATTCCCATGGTCTCCAGCGAAGAGGTGTGTATTGACTTTTTGAAAATATACATAATTTTAAAGATAGTGGCTTCTATAGAAATAAATAAAATAAGCCAAAATAGCTCAGTTAGGAGAGCGTTTGACTGAATATCTAAAGGTCCCTGGTTCGATCCCGGGTTTCGGCATCTTTTTTTAATTTTTAAATTTCTACTTACCGTAACTTGACACGTGACTTAATGTGACAGAATTGTGCATGACGCTGATAACTGTATTAAATATAATCCCCAAATTGTACCTTATCACACACTATTTATTTATTTGGATTAGGTTTTATTACCTTGTGTTTATAATCTATAATCCAAATTGTGCCTTATCACACACTATTTTTTTATTTGGCCTTATTACCTTGTGTTTATAATCTATGACGTAATGCCCCCCCCCCCCCCCCCCCCCCCCTGCCGGCGGCATGCGCCCGTTGGCTGCCGGCGAGCACATGACCTCCCTGTGCGCGCGCATCCGTGACAGAGGCGGCCGATGAGGAAAGACGGCCGTGACTATATATATTAATAACAGTAACTATGATAAGGCACAATTTTTTATTATATACTATATGAAAGTAAGTTATTGAGTTTCTCCTGTCGAAGGAGTGATAGGTATAAACACAAGGTAATAAGACCAAATCCAAATAAATAAATAGTGTGTGACGTTTCAGTGTTGTTACCATCTTCAGACAAAAGTACTGAATGAGAAATTTTACCACAGCTTGTTTCTCAGCTAAAATTTCTCATTCAGTACTTTTGTCTGAAGATGGTAACAACTCTGTTACCGAAACGTCACACACTATTTATTTATTTGGATTTGGTCTTATTACCTTGTGTTTATAATCTACTAGGCGAATGACCCGGCTTCGCCCGAGAAATCCCTTGGGTGCAATTTCCTTCATACTGAAAGTATATCAATAATAAATATTAGAAGTGCCATAGAATAGCAATACAGAAGTAACACATAAACTACAGGAAAAAAGTGTGTGTGATTGCAAATATTGTATTATATTAGTGTTTAGGTATTTGATTTAATTAATATAGTTGATATAATAATATATATTTATCTATATATATAAAAATAAATGTATGTGTGTGTGTGTGTGTGTCTGTCTGTCCTTTATGCCTGACCAAACCACTCATTGGAACGCCATGAAACTTTGGGAAGTTATTTAGTATAGTACTGGGAAGGTTTCTAGCAAATAAAATTTTTGAAATAACTTTTCGCCTAGAAATAATAAAGATAAATATTCTAATTTATCTGTTATAATTCAACAATCTGCTCTAAATATTATCATGATGATACGATGATTTTGTAATGTAGAAAATTAGGAAAGACAAAATTTAGGATGACATGGCAATTTATTTGAGACAAGAATAATGATACAATTCCAAGGCAAGATACTATTCCTTTAACTTCCAATTACCGAGGGAACCAATTAATATTGATTTTATTCAACTTATCGAGTATTTTTCAAGGGACCGGGAAAAAATGTTCACTTTATCGAGAGATTCGTTAAACAAACCTTTACTCGGGTAAAACCGGGGCGAAGCCGGGTACATCCATACAAGAATAATGATACAATTCCAAGGCAAAATACTATTCCTTTAACTAACAATTACCGAGGGACCAATTAATATTGATTTTATTCAACTTATAGAGTATTTTTCAAGGGACCGGGAAAAAAATGTTCACTTTATCGAGAGATTCGTTAGACAAACCTTTACTCGGGTAAAACCCGGGCGAAGCCGGGTACGTCCGCTAGTATTATATATAATATAAATGAGTTTTAAAAATTGTAAAAAAAAAAATGCATCGGCCGGGAATCGAACCCAGGCCGCCCGCGTGGCAGGCGAGCATTCTACCACTGAACCACCGATGCTTAAAAAAAATGGCCATATTTAGGTATTCATTCCATTCCGGATTAGTCCGCGTAAAAAAAAGTTCTTCAAATGAAAAAAAGAAATAGCCTAAAATACTAATCAAAATCAGCCGAAAATTTTCCTCAGGTTTATAAAAAGCGACATGCAAAATTTGTAACCAATTGGTTCAGTAGTTTTTGAGTTTATCGCGAAACAGACAGACAGACATTGACTTTTATATATATAGAGATAATCCAAACTGTGCCTTATCGAGTGATAGGTATGAAAACTTGAGAAATAAAAAATTATTTTTTTTATTAATGATAAATATAGTGATCCGAAGCAATAAAGAATGGTCCAGTGAGTGCAAGTACCCAAATGGGGCTCTGACACATTTGTAAATGAAAAAAGTCAAACTGTTTTCCACATTTTGAAAATAGACTAATTCATAAACACAAGGTAATAAGACCAAATCCAAATAAATAAATAGTATGTAACGTTACGGTAACAGCGTTGTTACCATCTTCAACACTGTTACCGAAATGTCACACACTACTTATGTATTTGGATTTGGTCTTATTACCTTGTGTATATAATCTATAATCCAAATTGTGCTTTATCAAGATATTAGAATATAATTATAGGCTGTATATATATATATACAGTAGAACTACCTCCCTGTAAAGGACAACACCTAATTACAGAGTCAAAGTGTCTTTTAGGAAAAAGTGTTCTCATACCGGAGAGTTGTTAAATAGTAAAAATGCTAATTTAGCAAATGAAAACTGTCCTTTGTAGAGAGGTGTCCTCTAGCGTGAGTGTCCTCTCATGGAGTTTGTTCTACTGTATTAGAATTATTATTTGAAACACACAGATGATTCCTTCGTTTGTGTGTGTGTGTGGTTATGTGTTTATTTCTTGTTAACGATTAAACAATTAAAAAAAAATTATATTAGAATTATCATACCTTGGTAACACGTGTACTAGGAATAATACTAATTTAAAATAGTTTAGGTTTGGTTAGGTTAGGTTAAGTTAAAAACACAAGGTAATAAGACCAAATCCAAATAAATAATTAATGTGTGACGTTTCAGTAACAGCATTGTTACCATCTTCAGACAAAAGTACTTTCAGTTAACTACATTCAGTTCTTTTGTCTGAAGATGGTAACAATGCTGTTACAGAAACGTCACACACTAATTATTTATTTGGTCTTATTACCTTGTGTTTATAATCTATAGCCCAAATTGTACCTTATCATTTAGGTTAAGTTAGTTTAGGTTAGGTTAGGTTAGGTTGAAAAATGAAACAATCCCCGATGGTATTCTGAAATGAGTTTTCCACACCTATACACCTCAATCTCCATTTGAATAATAAGCAAGGGTAAATTAGAAACTGCTTAGTGAATCAGAGACCTAATCCTGAGTCCTCCTTATGAAAACTAAACTAAAATGTGCATAAATTATTTTACGAAGTTTGTTCAACTAGGCATGGATAAAACCCTATGAAAACTGTTTGTTAATAGAAAAATAAATGTTTTGTAATAAACTTAATAATATACTCTCACGTGAAGCTCTTCATATTATTTTTGTTTTTCGGTCCTAAAATTGTAATGAGGCGAATATAAAATTAAAGTTAAATATAAAAATAAATTATAATATGCTATAAGCCGACCAAGTACGATCAATTTCTATATTTAAATGTATTCTTATTGTGACCAGCTTTTGATTATATTCTTTTAAATAATAATTGTGTTTACCTTTTAAAATATACCTGTATTAAAACTTTAATATGAACTTTTACAAAAATACTCAATGTGATTTTGTTCTAGTTGTAAACATGAGTAACAGAGTGACTCGATTTATTTATAATTATTTAAATAAAAATAATTTTCATTACACGAAAAAACAATAAATTGTATATATATTTTTAGAATAACAAAATATTTATTATATTGAGCTAAATATAAGTTTTATAATATTCGGTAATATTGGATATCCATATAATTCTGATGTAAATTATGTTGAAAATTAATATTCAATTTTCTAACTCTACTCTGTGAAAGTGTAGGTTAAAACATAATAAATAAATAATATAATTTCTATATTTAAATACACCTCATTTGAAAATATTTATGTTTTGGAAATGTCCGCAACTGGGGTTTTACCATTTGTTAGAGGAATTGATTTTTCAAGAAATGATTTTCAGGTTTGTATTTATTAATAAAAATACAAAATTTGTATACTAAATGATTCTAAATCGGAAAGTATAAACAATTATCTTGTCAGGCTAATACATTGACATTTCTTTTGTGTGTAGAACACAAAAATAGCGGTTATAAATAATACTTTTACGAATATATTTTTCCATCCATTTCTTTGACTCTTTCTAGAAATTGTACAACTATATTTTAAAAAAATACATTAAGAACATATTAATATTTAATATATATTCCTTATTATATATTCATTGTTAGAAAAATATATATTAATTTCAAAAATGTTTCATTTATTTTTTTGGTAAAAAATATTCATATGTACATATTTGTTTTGGTTTTCAAGTTTAAATTCCATATAAATATATATATAGGTTACAAATTAATGACAAATAATAATCATCCGAATTTACACACAGCCAATACTTGAAAAAATATATATATTTGTGTCAACAATGATATGAACTGGAAAATAATTATAAACCCTATTACATAGACCTCCCGGACACAGTTGAGGATATCTTAACAAACTACATAACAGATAGAAAGTTTTCACTGGATCTATGTGGGTTTTACAAGGCAGTGAATTAAAAGGCATCGTTACTGTTACTTTGAATTGAGTGAATGTGTATATATATATATTTTATTTTTTAAAATTCACTTCTTTATCTCTTTCTTACTTTGCTTCTTGGATCCTGCAGTCGAGTCTTTTGTAAGACTTTGGGTGCTTTTGTTGTTATGTTGTATATATGTATGTGTATGTATATATCATACTTACATA